ACTTAGAACAAGCTTGGCAAAGCATCAGGGACCGCGGTTCCAATCCCCCAGCACCACATGCCAGCCAGCCCCGCCCCCTGGTGGGCTGAGCTGGCCACACACACACACCTCTCTCTCTCTCTCTCTCTCTCTCTCTCTCTCTCTCTCTCTCTCTCTCAAATAAATAAAAATAAAAAAAAAATTTAAAAAAAAATCTGTTTACAGAAATCATACAAAAATTTCCAAGTATGGGGAAAAAATTAAACAGGCAAAAAATGCATATACAGCCTCAGATAGCCATGATTAGAAAAGGACTTCTATATAACATCAGATAAAATTCCTGAAGTCTAACACATAGATGGAATTTTAAAATCTATCAGAGGAACTGGGTTTGGTGGTGTACGCCTGTAATTCCAGCATTTGGGAGACTGAGGCAGGAGGATCACCACAAGTTCAAGGCCAGCTTGGACTATATAATAAGTTCAGGGCTAGCCTGAGCCACATAGCAAGACCTTGTTTCAAGAAATAAAATAGAGGAAAACAACAAATCACCCATAAAGATAAACCCATTAAAATGACTGCAGATTTCTCAACACAAATCTTAAAGACTAGGACAGCATAGAGAAAGTTCTCCAAGCCCTAAAAATATAGCTTCCGACCCAGATTAATATATCCTGCAAACTGTCATTCAGAATTGATGGTGGGGGCTGGTGAGATGGCTCAGTGGTCTAAAGCACCTATTTGGAACAAGCTTAGCAAAGCACAGGGACCGCGGTTCAATCCCCCAGCACCACATGCCAGCCAGCCCCGCCCCCGGTGGGCTGAGCTAGACACACACACACACACACACACACACACACACACAATAAATAAATAAATTTTTAAAAAAAATTGATGGTGGGGCCGGGGAGATGGCTCAGTAGAATAAGCGCTTCCCTGGCAAGCTCAAGGGCCTGAGTTCAATCCCCGGTTCTGCAAAAAAGAAAAAAAAAAAATTGATGGAGAGGGCTGGGCATGGTGGTACACACCTACAATCCCCACATTTGGCTGGTTGAAGCAGGAGGATCACCGTAAATTTGAGACCAGCCTGAGTTATGTAATGATACCTTGTCTTAAAAAAAAGAGAGAGAGAGAAATTAGGACCTTCATGATGAAGAGCACCTTAAGAACTTCATGACTGTCAAACCAACACTACAAAAAATATTCAGGGATATTCCAGACAGACAGTGAAGACATCAGTGCCAAAAGGCCTGCTGCAGTGAACATAACAAGCAGCGTAAACAATTAAGCAAAAGGGGAGAATAAAAGAGTCGGCAATGGAAAAACAACACAGTGACAAGAATCAGTACATTTCAGTAATATCTCAGTGTAAATGGTCTCAGCTCTTCAATGAAAAGACACAGATTGGCAGAATGGATTAAAGACCAGAATCCAGAGGTATACTACACTTAATCTTTAAAGAGCCCCTTAGATTTAAACAAGAATGGAAAACAATTTTTCCTACAACAGGAGTGTGAAAACAAGCAGGAGTAACTATACTATTTTCAAAGTAGACCTCAAGCCAAAACTGATCAGATCAAAGAAAGTCACTGCGTTCTGGTAAAGAGAACTCAACAGGAAAAGAGAACAATTTTAAATATATATGTGCCAGGGCTTGTGGGTTAGCTCAGTTGTTTAAAGCACCTACTTTGGCAAACTCAGGAGCAAGGGACTGTGGTTCATTAACCAGCTCCACATACCACACCAGACCTGCCCTTAAGGGAACCTGAGCCAGCCAAAAACAAATCCTTCTCAAGGTCTGGTGAGATGGCTCAGTGGTCTAAAGCACCTACTTACAACAAGCTTAGCAAAGCTCAGGGACCGCGGTTCAATCCTCCAGCACCACATGCCAGCCAGCCCCGCCCCCTGGTGGGCTGAGCTGGCCACACACACACACACACACACACACTAAATAAATAAAATTAAAAAAAAAAAAAAAACCCTTCTCAAGTTTTAGGGCCTGCCTGATAGCTCAGTGGACTAAAGTGCCTGCAGCGCAGTGGCTGGGTTCAATCCCCAGTGTGCCATGCTGTCCTCCCCCGCCTCTCGGAGTGCACTGAGACTGTGATGAGACTGGGTGTGGTGGTGCACACACCTGTAATCCCAGCGCTTGGGAAGCAGAAAACAGAAGCATCACTACAAGTCCAATGTAGATCTACGTAGTGAGACCCTGTCCTGAATGCAGAAAAAAAATGAATATATATGTGCCAAATACCAACACTCCCAACTTTATAAAACAGATACTACTAGATATAAAAGATAAACACCAACACAGCATGGTTGGGGACCTCTGTACTCCACTTTCATAGTAGGTTAACTAGACCAAAAAACCCCAAATATCAGAGTTGAATCATAAACAAATACACTTAATAGATATCTATGAAATGCTCAACCTAACTACAATAGAATATATCTTCCTCAGCAGCAAGTAACCAAAAGAAGGCTCCCCTAAAATAAAAGAATGAAAAAATGAGCATTTGAAGTGAATACTCTATGATGAATGGGATCATTGTATGTATCTAAAATGTACTAATAAAATCTAATTTTAAAAATTGAATATGTACTTGTCAATAGAAATACAGATAGATAATAAGTACATGAAAAAATGTTCATCTTAGGTCATTAAAGAAACACACATTGGAGCTGGGGAGTTCAATCCCCAATATCACCAAAAAAGTAAAACACACATTGCTGGGTGTGGTGGTGCTCACCTATAATCCTAGCACTCGGGAGGCTGAAGTAGGAGGATCAAGGTGAATTCAAGGGCACCTTGGGCTACATAGTGAGTTCAGGGCCAGCCTAAACTGCATAGTGAAACCCTATCTTCAAAAAAAAATTTTTTAATGCACATTAAAATAAAACACTGGTATTTCATCATATTCCAGAAAGAACGGCTATCAGGAATTCAAAACATGCTGGTAAGGTTATGGTGTGTGCATTGTGGGGATCCTTGTACTCAGGCCCTAGCACTTGCCAGGCAAGCACTTATTCTGCTGAGCCATCTCCCTGCCCCCCCCTTTTGTATTTTTTAAGGAAGAGTCTACAGGGTGTTCAGGGTCTCACTACTAGATCAGACTCATAGTGATCCAACTGCTTACAACCTCCCAAGAGCTGGGATTACAGGCGTGCGCCACCACGCCAAGTCTCAATTGCTGTCTCAGCAGCCCAGGGATCAAGCCCTCCCCGCTTGCACTGGCTTGCAGTCACTTTAATCCTCTGAGCTATTTGGCCAGCCTCTTTGTACTTTTTTTTGCATTTATTACAGGGGATAAAGGGTCTACATGGTCTCACTACATAGATCAGACTCTGTTTTCAGCCTCCCAAGCACTGGGATTACAGGTGCTTCCAACATGCCCAGTCTCAATCACCGGCTCAGCATGCCCTGGGGGCAGAGCCAGCAGGGCATGCTAGAGATGGAACCCTGGCTGCTGTGCTCTGCCTAAGCAGGCACTTTAGTCTGCTGAGCTATCAGGCTGGCCTCAGAGTCCTTGTACTTTGTTTATGGGAGTGTGTGTGACCAGTATGGAAATCAATTTGGAGGTTCCTCAAAAAACTGAAAAGAATTCCATTCAACCCAGCTCTTTCCCTGCTGGATATCTTCCCAAAAGAGTTAAAGACATCATATTATAGTGAAATGTGCATTCACATGTTCATTGTAGCTAAATGTTAGAAGCAGCCTACATGTCCATTAGCAGATAATTGGCTAAAGAAAAAATGTATACACAGTGGAGTACTACGGTGCTATAATGAAGGATAAATCTGAGTCAGTTGTAGGGAAATGGATGCACCTTGAGACCGTAATACTTTGTGAAATAAATCACATACACAAGCTTAAATATCAGGTGGTTTCTGTTTATGGGAACCTTAAATTATAAGTAATTTAAAAGGCGAAATGGTAGACAGGAAACAAGGAAGTACACCTTTTACAAGTGGGAAAGAGATCTAGAGATGGAGGTGGAAAGGGAGAGTAGGGGAAGAGAAAGCAAGAAAGAATTAAGATTCAGTTATATAGCCAGGCAAGGTGGTGCATGCCTGTAATCCCAGCACTCAGGCTGAGGCAGGAAGATCATTGCAAGTTGAAGACCAGCCTGGGAAGACAACAATATGCAATATATTAATTATTGAAACTGTCCTACCAATTTTTTTTTTTTTTTTTTTTTGGTGGAACCGGGGGTTGAACTCAGGCCCTTGCGCTTGCCAGGGAAGCGTTTATTCCACTAAACCATCTCCCTGGCCCCCTACTAATTGGTTTTGAAACTGTCTCATTGCTGTTTGTTTCTTAATAAAATTATTTTAAAAAAACAAAACCAGCCTGGGCTACAAAGTGAGCTCAAGGCCAACCTGAACTGCATAGCAAGACCCTGTCTCAGAAAGACACACACAAAAAGATTTGAGTATGTAGCCAGGTGTGGTGGTGCCTGCCAATAATCCCAGCCCTCAGGAGGATGAGGCAAGAGAATTGCCAAGGTCAAGGCCAGCCTGGATTACACAGTGCGACCTTGTCTCACAATCCCCCTCCAAAAGAAGAAAAAGATTAAACATGTATGTGTAAGCTCCCTCTGATGGATATAATCAGCATGTACTATAAACATTACTAATAAAAATTTGAAAAAGTAAGAAACAGTGGTAAAAGGGGTGGGGAAAGGAAGTAAAAGGATTAAGATTTTATACATACAAACTCATTATGTATCACAAGTAGGTACTGATAAAAAGTATTAATTTGCCCTGATTTAATTTTATCCCCCACCACCACTTTTGAGATAGGATGCAGTTAAATCAGTTGCAGGGGCAGGGCCTAAACTTGTGCTCTTGCTGCCTTAGCCTCCCAGAGTGCCGTTACAGGTGTGCACCCCTGTTCCTGGTTAGCTGCCTGTTCTGAGGCAGAGTTCTCAGTGGTGCAGGAAGCTGTCTTGATTCAGTGGCCTGGATGTGGTCCCAGAGCAAGAGTGTGTGTGCTCTCATGTTCTCCTTTCTCTCTCTAGTTTGTCCTGAAGAATTTTGGAGAGAACCCAGAAGCCTACAATGAGGAATTGAAGAAGTTGGAGTTGCTCAGACAGGTAGGAGGCAAATACTTTTAGGTATGAGCAGGTTAGGTTTGGTAGGGAAGTGACAGAAACCACCTGGTGTGGTCTTAGACACAGGCTTTTGGGAGACACTTGAGATGCAGACTGTAGCACTGAAGTCCACTGGGGCAGGGCGGGCAGGTGGCAGCAGTAGATGTTGAGCGTGCTGAAGCCAGTGGCCCGAGAAGGCCCAGCCCTAGTTGGGTAGGCTAGTGCTGGGAGCATCGCCCAGGGATCAAGCCCAGCTTCCTGAACGTAGGGCCATCCAGGGCTGGTCCAGAAGGAGGGGGAGCTCTTTGAAAGAGGCCAGCAGGTACCATTTAGGCAGGCGTGGAGGTAGACTTGTAATCCAGCTACTTGGAAAGCTGAGGGCAAAGGGTTGCGAGATCAAGGCCAGCCTGGGCATCTTACTGGGACCTTGTCTCAGAAAACTAAAAAGAACTACGTAGCACAGTGGTAGAGCAATTGCCTAGTGTGCATGAAGCCCTGGATTTGATGCCAGTACTGCCAAAAAGAAGATGAACTGTGTAGGGGAAGGGAAAATGGATTTGGGCCCTTTATGTTCCCGGGACCGTGCTAGCTGGAGGTGGAAGAGCTTGCGATAGTGGAGGGAGACATGGTGCTGGTCAGTGCTTGCTGTCTGTATCTCTGTTCAGAAGCTTATCTGTGGTCTAAGCGTTGATCCGCATCCTTGGAGGTGGAGGCCTTCTTGCCCCCTGGCTCCCACAGGCTGGAGCTTTGGGTCGGCATCTTCTCCTGGTCCAGGAGCACCTGTGCTAGTACTGCAGCCGGCCTGCCTGCTGTCCTCCTGCCCTGGAAGCAGAACCTCAGACAGCCAGGAGGTAGCTTGGCGGCGAAAGTGTCTGCCTGGCAAGCACAAGGTCCCGAGTCCTATCCCTGATACCAAAAAAATACTACAGAGGCCTTGAGTTCAGGAAACACCAAGTTCCAAAGCAGCTGCCTAAGAAGAGTCTGCCAGTGTTCTTGTGGCTTTGGTGGGAGACATATGTCCAGTGCTTCTTACTCCACCACCATCCAGAATCTTCCTCATAAACTGAAGTCTAGGGAAGAGCTTATTTCAGTAAAGTTTGAAAATGGACCCCATCAGTGTCTCTGTCTGTCTCTGTCTCTCTCTCTCTCTCCCTTTCCCTCCCTCCCCCCTCTCTCCTGCTCCTCTCTCTCTCTGTCTGTCTCCCTTTCCTTCCTTCTCCCTCTTCTCTCCCTCCCCTCCTCCTTCTCTCCCTCCCTCTCTACCCCCCCATATGGTACTAGGGATTGAACTCAGGTCCTTGTACATGCTAGGCACACACCCTGCCACTGAGCTATACCCCCAGCCCATACATCAGCGTTTCTTGGCCTGGTGAATCCATAGCCATAGGACATTTTTTACTTAAAACACTGAGAGTAATTTTTCCAATGAAATAGTGACTAGACTAAAAAACGACTTGCAGACTCAGCAACATGTAAAAACTAAATGCAAAATTTTGGTACTAACATGGGTCAAGTTGGTTTGTGTTTTATTTTGTTTTTGTAGTCCAGGCCGGCCTTGAAAACAGTATGAAAACCAGGCTGGTCTCCAACTTAAGATCTTCTTACTTCAGCCTCCTGAATGCTGGGATTATGGGCCATCAGACCTGGCTCCCTTTCTTAGTGAATAGAGAAAGTACATCGTAGCACAGAGAAATGCCCAGCGGAGATGAGACAGCACGACTCAAATTCTCCTTTGGTTTAACTCGAGTGATTTGTAAAGGAGTGAGGGAAGGTCAGTGTAGTGGGAAAACGGGGGGAGCTTTGGGTCGGCATCTTCTGGTCCAGGCTTGTACCCACATCCAGAGAACAGGACTAGGTTGCTCGGTTGTAAGACTTTTGGTGCTCATCGAGGTCTTGCTTTGAGAGGCTTGTGGGGTGACACCAGCCAGCATCGTGCTGTGTCTAGGGTGGGTGTAGGAGGGGTGTCCCTGGCTTCCCAAGGGTGGTTTCGGGAAGTACACATTTTATACATTAGTATTTTTGCGTGGGGTTTAGTATTTTTAAAAATGTGTAGCTCCCATATCAGACCTGTTATTTTGGAGCTCTTGCTACATCAGCTATGGGTTTTGTTTTTGATATCAGGATTGAACTCAGGCCCTTGGCTTGCCAGGCAGGTGCTTATTCTACTGAGCCATCTCCCTGGCCCCTGGATCTTGATTTTTAAAACGGGTTGGTTTAAAGAAAATATTGAGTGGGAGTGGGGTTTGCCTAATATGCGAGGCTGGGGTGGAGGGCTGTGCTAGAGGGAGGCCTGCACTGCGGAGCCCTGGCCTGGGCCGGCAGCCCTGCGCAGCATGGGCACATGGCTGACTGGGAGAGACTAGCTGAGGTGATGCAGGCTTGGGAGCCCGCCGGAAGCCGTGCGGAGCAGGACCGCCTCGTGAGCTGAGGGCCGGGGTGCGTGGGGTTTCCTCAGCTGGTCGTGTATTTCAGCAGGGCAGGCAGATAAGAATTTGTAGTTCTTTTGGCCCAGCTCCTCATTTGATACCAGTTTTTGGGGACTAAACCCAAGGCGTTTGTACTGAGCTACACCCCTAACCCTTTTTGTTTTAGTTTTTGGCGGGGTCTTACTACTAAATTGCTCAGGCTGGGTTTAAGTAGTGATCTTTCTGCCTCACTCAGCCTTCCAGAGTGCTGGGATTACAGTTGTGTGCTACTGTGCCTGGCTTGGGGACCTGCTTCTTGGTATATTGTCTGTTTTTCTGTTTGAGCATAGGGTTCATTTGCTTTGTTTTCCCAAAATGGAAATACTTTTGTTATTTATTATAAAAACTGAAAATGTTTAATGTAAAGAATTAAGTACCTGTCTCTACCAGGCACATACCTTTGTCTATTTATCTACCTATAGTATATGTATAGAAAGAGGGCAGTCTAATCTTATTAGGATTTCAACTCAGGTCCTTGTGCATGCTAGGCAGACACCCTACCACTGAGCTATACCCCCAGCCCATACACCAGTGTCTTTTGGCCTAGTGGCGGTGCTCCCCTTGGCCCTGGCTGGCCCTGCTTACAGTGAGCAGGGCTGCCGCTTCTGCAGGACTGAGACAGATAATCACTGTTAACATTTGTTGTACAGTCTTCTGAACTCTTTTCATGTTCATATCTGTTTAGAAATTATTATCCCAATGGTTGCACCTGAGATCATACCATTCATCTGTGATGTGCTTTTTTTATGCCTAACAGTATGTCAAGAACAGTATCACAGGTGCCAGGGAGATGGCTCAATAGAATAAGTGCTTCCCTGGCAAGTGCAAGGGTCTGAGTTCAATCCCTGGTTCTGCAAAAAAAAAAAAAAAAAAAAACCACAACAGTATCAGTAGAGAGAGCCATATCTGTAGTTTTCACAGCTGCGAAGTATGCTCCCGTGTGGCTAGTCTCAGTGGAATTTATTTCAGCAGTGTTCTTTAAAATGGAAGGTAGGCTGGTATAGTTTGTGACTGATAATGTGTTGGTAAACATTCTTGTATATAAAAAGGTTTGTTTTCCTCATGATGTAAATTTTAGATATACAACTATAGATGGAAAATTAAATGAGAATTTTAAACTGGGTGAACTAGCATACACGCCTATAATTCCAGCTGCTCAGGAGATTGCAAGTGTCTCAAAGTTAAAAATGGGTGGGGATGGAGCTCAGCGCTGCCTGGGTTCAGTCTCTTGTAACAACCCTATCCCCCTTCCAGCAAACCAAGTGGAAGCTGCAAGATGCTTTCTAGGAATGCTGTTGTGGCAGCCATCGCTGGCATGTGCGCCAGTCCATCAAGTGACTTCTGAGGCTCTGTCACTTCAGGTCTGGTGTGTTTCCTAGTGTCTGGAGTGAGCTCCATTTCTGCCTTCCTGTCCCCTAGAATGCCATCCGTGTCCCCCGGGACTTTGAGGGCTGCAGTGTTCTCCGAAAGTACCTTGGCCAGCTGCACTATCTGCAGAGCCGCGTTCCTATGGGCTCAGGGCAGGAGGCTGCAGTCCCTGTCACCTGGTGAGAGCCAGTACCAGGCCTGGGGTGTGGGGCTGGATTCCTGGGGAGTGGCATGCCCCTCTCCCCTGCTTTGTCCTTCATGCTGTGTGGGTATGGAGTGGCCCTGGCCCTGTGGCATACACACACACACACGCCCCAGAGTGGTGCTCCCCTCATCCCTGGCCAGCCCTGCCCTGTAGTAACCAGGGCTGCCACTTCTGCAGGACTGAGATCTTCTCGGGCAAGTCTGTGGCCCATGAGGACATCAAGTATGAGCAGGCCTGTATCCTGTACAACCTCGGTGAGCCGCCTGGCCCTTCCCCCAAGGTCCCCGCCTGCCACCTGTCTCGGCTGACCAGGGTCCTCAGAGACCATGGGGCTCCTCTGCCTTTGCCACAGCCTGGCAGCACCCTGCTGTTCCTAGGGCCCACAAAAGCCACCCAACAGAGCTGCCACTGTGTGCCCTGGCTGGAGAGGCACCCTTCCCCCCGTGCTTTTGTACACCTCAGCTGAGGGAGAAGTGGGAGGAACTGCAGAGGACTCAGGCCTTCCTGGGAGCTGCCAGAGGACCCCTGGGCTATAGAGAGCAGCCTCTCCTTCCTGTGCCCCAGCCCCGCTGTATACAGAGCCCAGGCCTTGGTTGCACTGCTGGGTTTCCTTGTGCTGTCATGTGACTGCCCTGGACTTTGGCCCTGGAAAGCTGCTTCCCTGGTGAGCTGGCTCAGGGCTCTGCCTTCCCTAACACAGTGTCTTCTGCCTCCTCAGGCGCACTGCACTCCATGCTGGGGGCCGTGGACAAGCGGGTATCAGAGGAGGTGAGGTGGCGGTGGTGTTGGGATGCGTGAGTTGGCGCTGCCCCACAGGAATGGGTGTGGTCAGCTTCCTCCCCATCCCTTGCAGGGCATGAAGGTCTCCTGCACCCACTTCCAGTGCGCAGCGGGTGCCTTTGCCTACCTGCGGGAACACTTCCCGCAGGCCTACAGTGTGGACATGAGCCGCCAGATCCTTACCCTCAACGTCAATCTCATGCTGGTGAGGCCAGGGAGCGGCCAAGTGCAGAGCTATGGGCTGACTTGGAGGGAAGGGCTGCCATAAGTGTCCCCTGGTTGCCATCTGCACCTGGGAGAGACAGAGGCAGTTGAGAGTGACCTGTGTGTGTCCCCAGGGCCAGGCGCAGGAGTGCCTGCTGGAGAAGTCAATGCTAGACAACAGAAAGAGTTTCCTGGTGGCCCGCATCAGTGCACAGGTAGGGGCAGTCTGAGGGCAGGGGTCCCTGGCTGTGCCCTGGCCTGGCTTCCAGACTTGTCCTGTCCCACCCTGCCCTGCCCCACCCCAGGTGGTAGACTACTACAAGGAGGCATGCCGAGCCCTGGAGAACCCAGCCACTGCCTCACTGCTGGGCCGCATCCAGAAGGACTGGAAGAAGTTGGTGCAGATGAAAATCTACTACTTTGCAGCAGTGGCTCATGTGAGACCACTCTGGTCCCTGGGGCTGGTGTGGGCTGGGTCACCTGGGTCAGGACTGGGTCTGATGCCTTCTCCTCTTCCCTAGCTACACATGGGAAAGCAGGCCGAAGAACAGCAGAAGTTTGGGGAGCGGGTGAGTTGGGCTTGGGCTTTGTCAGGGGTGCTTGGGCCCCAGTCCACAGTGTGGTGTCGTCACCCCCATCTACAGGCCTTTGGGTCATCTACATTGCTCCCCTGTGAGGCTATAGTCTTGGGTTTTTTAGAGGTGTGGCAGGCTCCCCAAGGTATAAATTGTAGGTGGTGCTGCTTTGGTACTGGGCTTCAGATGGTTATCGGATGGCCTGGCAGGAGGAACTGGGTTCACACAGGGACAACAGAGCAGGCTTTGCCCTCTGCAGGTGGCCTACTTCCAGAGTGCCCTTGACAAGCTTAATGAAGCCATCAAGTTGGCCAAGGTAAGGCTGAGGAGGCCTGACTGCCCTTGACCCCAGGACGAGGGGAGCAAGCTGCACAGGACTGCCAGGGCCTGGGGGTACTAAGGTCCCATTCCCATACTACCTGCAGGGCCAGCCCGACACTGTGCAGGATGCACTTCGCTTCACAATGGATGTCATCGGGGGAAAGTGAGTGGGGCCCTCTTGCTGTGGGATGTCTTGTCCTCTGCCTGTACACTAAGGAGGAGGCACCAGCAGGAAGTGGTTGCACTCATTCCCATCCAAGTCTTGGGTCCCACTGGGCCCAGACTCCTCATTCCCTCTGCTCCATACCCCAGGTACAATTCTGCTAAGAAGGACAACGACTTCATCTACCATGAGGCTGTGCCAGCTCTGGATACACTGCAGCCTGTGAAAGGTCTGGGGCTGAGGGAGGCTGATAAGTGAGCATGAGGGGTAGATGGTCAGCATCCCTGAGGGCCTGACACTTCCTTCTTTCCCAGGTGCTCCCTTGGTGAAGCCCTTGCCTGTAAACCCCACGGATCCGGCTGTCACGGGCCCTGACATCTTCGCCAAACTGGTACCCATGGCTGCCCATGAGGCCTCATCACTGTACAGGTGGGTGGGGCTAGCCTAGCCTTGCCATGCAAGCAGTTGGGTGTCCGGAAACGTGGCTATCAGTTGCTCTGTCTTCCACAGTGAGGAGAAGGCCAAGCTGCTTCGGGAGGTGATGGCCAAGATTGAGGACAAGAATGAGGTCCTGGAGTAAGTGTGGGGTAGGCTCCGGCCCTCGTGGGGGCCACGGTGCTGCCCATGTGGGTGAGGGCAGGGGTACATTGTCTTGTCTGGTCACAGCAGCTTTCCAGCCTGCCTCCCTGCCCAAGAGCTTGGGCTAGATGTGAGTCCCAGGGCATGGTGTCCCTTCTGTGGCAGTTTCCAGCTGTCCCTGGGTCCATGTGGCAGTGGTACAGGCCGCTAGAGAGGATTTGCTGTCTAATGTAGAACCAGCTGCAGCAGAGGGGTACACTCCAGCACCTCTTCCACCCGGTTGACCTCCTCCCCCCACCCCCCAGCCAGTTCATGGATTCGATGCAGCTGGATCCTGAGACAGTAGACAACCTGGACACGTACAGCCATATCCCACCCCAGCTCATGGAGAAGTGCGCAGCACTTAGCGTGCGGCCCGACACAGTCAGGAACCTTGTTCAATCCATGCAGGGTGAGTGGGGGCAGAGTGGGCACAGAGGGCACCAGCACAAGGGTGGCTAGGCCACGGCAGGCCCTGACTTGAACGGCCAGCTGGCCAGAGGGGTGCCTGGCACACCTACCTCAGGGCCCGTCCCATCCAACCCAGTGCTGTCGGGTGTGTTCACCGATGTGGAGGCCTCCCTGAAGGACATCAGGACCCTGCTGGAGGAGGATGAGCTGCAAGAGCAGAAGCTGCAGGAGGCCACGGGTCAGACTGGGGCCAGCCTGGCCACTGCCAAGGCCGAACTGGCAGAGGTGAGGAAGGAGTGGACCAAGTACATGGAGGTGCATGAAAAGGCATCCTTCACCAACAGTGAGCTGCACCGTGCCATGAACCTGCATGTGGGCAACCTGCGCCTGCTCAGTGGGCCGCTAGACCAGGTTCGGGCTGCCCTGCCCACGCCAGCCCTGACACCAGGTGAGCCGCTGTTCCTACATGTATGTGGGCATGCGTGGGAGCATGTGCGGGCAGCTTGTACTTTCCATGGCCTCATTGGTGCCTGCCGTCTCCAGAGGACAAGGCTGTGCTGCAGAACCTGAAGCGCATCCTGGCAAAGGTGCAGGAGATGCGGGACCAGCGTGTGTCCCTGGAGCAGCAGCTGCGCGAGCTGATCCAGAAGGATGACATCACTGCCTCCCTGGTGACCACTGACCACTCAGAGATGAAGGTGGGTGGGGCAGCAGGCGGGCTTGTCCTGCCCTGAGGTACAGAGGCCTGAGTGCCCTCCACTCACCCCCTTAGAAGCTGTTTGAGGAGCAGCTAAAGAAGTATGACCAGCTGCGGGTGTACCTAGAGCAGAACCTGGCTGCCCAGGACAACGTGCTCCGGGCACTCACTGATGCCAATGTGCAGTATGCGGCTGTGCGGCGGGTGCTGAGCGACCTGGACCAGAAGTCAGTGCACAGGGCTGTCCTTCCACCCTGACCTGCCCACCCTCCCCGTGGCTGCTGACCTGGACTTCTGCCTGCCAGGTGGAACTCCACGCTGCAGACTCTGGTGGCCTCATACGAAGCCTATGAGGACCTGATGAAGAAGTCCCAGGAGGGCAAGGATTTCTATGCAGACCTGGAGAGCAAGGTGGCCGCCCTGCTGGAACGGGCTCAGTCTGCTTGCCAGGCACGAGAGGCTGCCCGCCAGCAGCTCCTGGACCGGTGTGTGTGGACCCCAGATGCCTCGCAGTCCCACTCTGCCCCCCCCCGGGGGGGGCGCTAGGCTTTTGTGAGTGACCTTCTTGCTTTTCCTTCCCAGAGAGTTGAAGAAGAAGCCGCCCCCACGGCCCACTGCCCCGAAGCCACTGCTGTCCCGCAGGGAGGAGAGCGAGGCCTCAGAGACGGGTGACCTGCCTGAGGAGCTGCGGAGCCTGCCCCCTGATGTGGTGGCGGGTCCACGGCTGCCTGATGCCTTCCTGGGAGCCACTCCCCCACTGCATTTCACACCTGGACCCTTCTCCAGCCCCACTGTCCCAGGCCCCCACTATGTCCCCGGTACACTCCCCCCTGGCACCTATTCAGGCTCCAGCCAGCTGCTGCAGGCCAGGCCCTCAGGGCCCCCTGCTGTGCCTGTGGTGCCCTCACCTGTCCTCTATCCAGCCCCCACCTACACCCCAGAGTTGGGGATTGTACCCCGCTCCTCCCCACAGCACGGCATGGGGAGCAGCCCCTATGGAGCAGTGGGGGTTCCCCATGCTGCTGCGGGCCTGCCCTCTGCCCCTCCTCCACAGTTTTCAGGCCCTGAGCTGGCTGGAACGGTTCGGCCGGCCACCACCACTGTGGACAGCGTCCAAGCCCCCATCTCCAGCCACTTGGCACTTCGGCCCAGCCCTGGCAGCACTCCTCAGCCCTGCTTTCCCTCACAACCTCCCCAGCCTGTGCCCTACACATACCCAGTTGGGACCAAACAGCCCCTCCCAGCATCGCCAGCTCAGCACTCCTTTTCTCCTGGAGTGCCCACAGGGTTTCTCCCACCACCCGGTACTGGCATTGGCCCCCAGCCACATCCTTCCAGGGCAGCGTTTGGGCCTCTGCCCCCCCAGCAGCCCCTTCCCTTTCAGCACCCACACGTTTTCCCACCCCAGGCCCCAGGAGTTCTCCCCTCGCAGCCCCCATACCCCTACCCACCCAGGCCCAGTGTCCTCCCACAGCCCCCCACAGCATTGCGCGCTCCGCTCTACCCAGGCCCTGCCCCAGAGGCCATGCAGCCCCGGGTGGGGGCTTTGCCCTTTGCCAGTTCAGGGCCCCCCCAACCTCCCCACCCATCCCTGGCTTATGGGCCTGGGCCGTCTCCCAGGCCCCTGGGCGTCCAGGCGCCCCCAGTCCCCATGCATGGCCCTCCCCCTGCTGGCCAGCTCAGCCCCAACCCCCACCTGGTGCCTTCACCCGCACCGTCTCCAGGTCCGGGCCCGGCTCCCCCTCGGCCCCCCCCAACAGATCCGCCTGCATGCCCACGCCGGGGCATGGCTGCTGCAGACCTGCTGTCGTCTAGCCCCGAGAGCCAGCACGGGGGCGTACAACCTCCCGGAGGTGGGCAGCCCCTGCTGCAGCCGACCAAGGTGGACGCGGCCGAGGGCCGCCGCCCACAGGCTCTTCGGCTAATAGAGCGGGATCCCTACGAGCACCCTGAGAGGCTTGGGCGGTTGCAGCAAGAGCTGGAAGCCTTCCGGGGTCAGCTAGGGGATGCGGGGACGCTGGATGCAGTCTGGCGGGAACTGCAGGAGGCACAGGAACAGGATGCCCGAGGCCGCTCCATCGCTATTGCCCGCTGCTACTCTCTGAAGAATCGGCACCAGGATGTCATGCCCTATGACAGCAACCGTGTGGTACTGCGCTCGGGCAAGGACGACTACATAAATGCCAGCTGTGTGGAGGGGTTGTCACCGTACTGCCCACCCTTGGTGGCCACCCAGGCTCCGCTTCCCGGCACAGCTGCTGACTTCTGGCTCATGGTCCATGAACAGAAAGTGTCTGTGATCGTCATGCTGGTGTCAGAGACCGAGATGGAAAAGGTGAGCGTGTGGTAAGGTGGGTGTTCAAAGGCCAGAGTGGGCAGGACTGGACTCACTGTGTTCCTCTGCCCCTTAGCAAAAGGTGGCACGCTACTTTCCCACGGAGCGCAGCCAGCCTATGGTGCATGGAGCCCTGAGCGTGGCGCTGAGCAGTGTGCGTGCTACGGAGACCCACGTGGAACGTGTGCTGAGCCTGCAGTTCCGTGACCAGAGCCTGAAGCGCTCCCTCGTGCACCTGCACTTCCCCACCTGGCCGGAACTGTGCATACCCTGGCTGGGGCAGGGGGCGGGCAAGGGTTGGGGCTTGTGCCCAGGGCTGGGCTCACCACACTGCCCTGCCCTGCTTCTAGAGGCCTGCCAGACAGCCCCGGCAATCTGCTCCGCTTCATCCAGGAGGTACACACGCATTACCTGCACCAGCGGCCCCTGCACACGCCCATTGTCGTGCACTGCAGGTAGGGAAGGCAGCTGCGGCTGTTGCTGCTGCTGTGGGCTGCCCTCCTGGGCTTCTTGGCCCAGCCTTATTCTCTTCCCCTGCAGCTCTGGTGTGGGCCGCACAGGAGCCTTTGCGCTGCTTTACGCGGCAGTGCAGGAGGTGGAGGCAGGGAACGGCATCCCCGCGCTGCCCCAGCTGGTGCGCCGCATGCGGCAGCAGAGGAAACACATGCTGCAGGAGAAGGTGAGCAGGGGTGGGGCAGCTGGGCGACACACCCGCTGACTGTGCCCCCGCTAACTGTGCCCCCGCTCCCTGCAGCTGCACCTCAAGTTCTGCCATGAGGCAGTGGTGCGGCATGTGGAGCAGGTCCTGCAGCGCCACGGCGTGCCTCCGCCCTGCAAGCCCCTGGCCAGTGTTGGCACTGGCACCAACCAGAAGGTGAGGCAGCTTCCCTGGGTGGGGTGGGCTGCAGCCTCTCCCCTCCTCACCTCACCTTCTCTTCCTCCTCGGAGCCAGCTGCCCCAGGACTCCCAGGATCTGGTCCTTGGCGGGGATGTGCCCATCAGCTCCATCCAGGCCACCATTGCCAAACTGAGCATCCGGCCTGCTGCGGGCATGGACTCTCCAGCCACCATGCAGGCAGACACCGCAGAGAGCCTGGGCCTGGCACCTGCGAGCCTCCCTGAGCCTACGTCTGCCCCTTCTTCCCCACCACCGCTCTCGCCCCTGCCTGAGGCCCCCCAGCCAGAGGAACACCAACCTGCGCCTGAACCCCCGAGTGCGGGCCCCCCATCCTCCTCCCTGGAGCTGCTGGCTTCCCTGACCCCTGAGGCCTTCTCCCTGGACAGTTCTCTGCGTGGGAAGCAGCGCATGAGCAAGCAGAGCTTCCTGCAGGCACACAGCGGGCAGGGCCTGCGCTCCGCCCGGGCCCCCGATGACCCCCTCAGTCTTCTGGATCCACTCTGGACCCTCAACAAGACCTGAGCTGCCTCTGCTGTGCCCACAGCCCTGCGCGGCCCAACACAGCGGCCTGGGCTCAGGCTTTGCCCCTCAGTGGGACCTGGTGTTTTTCAGCTCGTTACTGAAATAAACCAACCCATTCTGTGGCCAGTGTCTGTCCACTGCTGCTTCCTCAGCCCAGGAACAGCATAAACTGATTCCTTGTGGGACCCTCGAGCAGGGAATGACATAAGCATCTCCAGCCCCAAGCCCATGTCCTTTTTAAAAAAGTTTAATATCAGTCTGGGAGCAGGACAACTCAGGCAGCTGCCAGGGAGGTTCTGCTCCTGCCCTTGCTGTTCTAGGGCCGGTGTGCTTGCCCTGCAGTGTCTCTCGCCCTCAGTCGAGCTTCTCCAGCACGGAGGGCACGTACACCAGGCTGAGCTCGCTGCCGAAGTTGCACACGATGGCTGCATTGTCCAGCACCAGGATCTGGCGGGCTGGCTGGGCCTCACTGTTCTTTCCCAGATACACAGTCTGCAACAGGTCCCCATAGTTCAGGTCCCAAAAGGAGACACAGCCCTGGCCACCAGTCACTAACAGGTTGTCAGAGATGACACCCAAGCTTGCACCACAGCCAAGGTCCTAGAAGGCAAGGTGGGGTGCTCAGGGTCCAGCGTCTGGAAGCCTGGCCCCACCCCGTACGGGCCTGCCCTGCCTGCCCACCTGCTGAATGGAATACAGTTTGATCCCTGTGCTGCGGTCCCAGATGCTGATGAGGTCATCCAGGCCACTGCTGATGACACATGAAGCAGTACAGGTGAGGGACGTAACATCACCACGGTGAGCAAACATGTGGCTGACCCGGCTGCCTGTCAGCATGTCCCACAAGCAGATGGCCCCATCCTGTCCTCCACTGGCCAGCACCATGGTCTGGGGAAGAGGTCCAGGGAGACTGGGTCACTGCTTTCTGGACCTCCTGGGAATCAGGCACCGAGGGCTGTGGCCACCTCCTCCTCCTCCCTGCTGCCAGCCCTGACCCCTTACCTGGTCAACATAGACACTCGTGATGGCCCCCGAGTGGCCCTGCAGTGTGAAGAGGCAGCACGAATCCTCCAGACGGAACACCTGGGGTGGGACGGGTGGCTCTGGGCTTTCCTGAGGTTGAGGCACCCTGGGCGCTGCCTCCCGCCTCCCATGGCCTGAGCAGTACTCACCCTCAGGGTGTGGTCCTGGCTCCCAGTCACCAGGCGCCCAGCAGCAGCCTTCAGCGCTGTGATGGGTTTCTGGTGTGCGCAGGGCACAGTGTGGGTCAGGCGGCAGGCCACCATGTCGCTGCCACTCTGCAGGGAGGACAGAGAGCTGCCCCGCCCTGGGGTCCCTGAAGACAGCAGGCCAAGTAAGGGAGTCTGTGAGCGCCCAGTCACTGCCTGCCTCCCCACCCAAGTCTCACCTCGGAACTGCAGTGGGCTGAAGACTGTGTGAGTCTCCAGGGAAAAGAAATCCAAACAACCATTGAGCCGAGCGGCCACGACCCTGGAAGAGGGGTGCAGAGAGCTCTCCTTAGTAAGATGTGGGGACAACAGAAAGGGGCTGGCCAGCTGAGGAGGGGGCTACAGCCACAGCAAGCAGCACAGGGCACTGGCAGCAGGGCTCAGCTGCACCTCTGTTATCCGTGCTGTGGCTCAGGGTCTTTATCTGTCAGTGAAGGGAACTGCCCACCTGACAGGGTGGCCGCCAGAGTCACGTGGGTCCTATGTGTACGTGTACTAAAGCACAAAAAGCAACTAAGCAGAGCGCCCAAGTGACCTGATGGAATGGAACCCAGGTCATGTGGGTTGAAGAGAAGAGGGCCCAGGATGGGCTGCTACATCCATGGAAAGGCAGCCTGCTCTATTTCCTTGTTCCACAAAGAAATAAGGGTGTTCTCTGCACCCACAAATTCCTAACCAGAAGCCAAGAGCCATGGCCCCAGAGCCATACAGTGAGGCACGATGTTACCACCTGAGCCAAAGGAGGGGACAATCTGGGCACCGCTGGCCAGGGCAGACACTGTGCTAAGGCACACGGGCAATCAAGGGCAGTACCAGCCAGCAAGGAGGGGCCACAGAGCTTGGCGGGCTGGAGGCATGGAGGGCGGAGGCCTAGGGCAGAGGCCTGGACCAGAGTCCCAGCAGTGACACAAAAGCAAGCAGCTACCAATGAGTAGTGCTTAGGGTGGGGGTCCTCTTCCCCCAGCAAAGGTTCAAGCTCTAGCTCTGAGACCCTGGATGCCACCAACAGCCAGCAGCAGGGTCAGTGACTCAGCAGTTGCCAAAGCCAGAGGTCAGGCCCCAGCTGAGAATGCAGGTACTGACGGTGGGGACACCCACAGCCAAGGGAAGCAAGCGCCCAGAAGCCAGGGAGGATTTCCACAGCAAGTGGCAGGTGCCCCATCCAGACGCCTAGAGGGTCACAGGGTGAGGAACAAAAGCAGCACCTGATCCCATCAAGGGCGCCCCACTCACCTCCTGTCCAGGAAGACGAGGGCTGTGATGCCGGAGGAAGACACCTCACTGCTACAGCACAGCTCGCCCTCCATGGCATCCCACACCTGCAGTGAGTGCAGAGGCTGTGAGAGGGGCGCCAGCGGGACCAGGCGAGGGGACAGGCAGTGGGGACCCGCACCTCCAGACGACCGCTGCTCCGCCCAACCACGAAGAGGCCACCCTGCAGCTCCAGGCTCCAAATGGAGCCATCGGCGCTTGGGGCCCAGGCTGGAGGGGGGCTGTCCTTGTCCCATGCGGGGTCCTCGGCGGGCGGCACAGGCACAGGCGAGGGCGGGCGACGGGCAGGGCCCTCGCTGCGGCAGGCGCGTTGCACTAGGCGGCCAAAGTCATAGCCCGCGGCGCGGCTGCAACCTGCTCGGTGCCGGGGCTCCGGCTGAGCGGGCTTCGGTTGCGCTGCGAAGTCGGTGTCGATGAGGCCGCTGAGATCAGGCTGGTCCCCAAAGAGCGCGGGCGGGGGACCCCGGGGCCTGCGGCGGCGCGGAGGGCTATCCCCAGGCTCCTGGGCACCCGTCTTCGCGCCGCCACCAGGCGGCTGTGCCCAGCGCCCTGGAGCCTCTGCGCCTCCACCTCCTTCGCTTTCCGGGCGCTGCCTGCACGGAAGCGGGGGAGGTGGTGAGAGGAGGGCAGGGGAGCTGGCGGGGACGCAGGCACACCCCCGGGTTGGGGACAACACCTACCCCGGCCGTGGGATGCGCGTGAGGCAGTCTCCGGTCTGAGCGTCCCACACGCGCACGTGGCCCGCCAGGCAGCTGCTCACAAGCAGCATCCCGTCGCTGGCCAGACACTCGATGTCCTGCGGGAAGGTGGGCGTGGCGTGGGCACAGGTTCCCGGTCCCCTCCTCTGGCCCGCCCACCCGCCCGCTGGCCGCTCACCATGAGGTGGCCGCGCAGCACCAGCGGCACAATCTCCGTCTCGGGTGGCGTGTACCCGTAATCGTCGCAGGGCAGCTCCCCGCGGCGCCGCCGGCCACTACCCCCGGGCTGCCCGTAGTCACGTGGGCACAGCACGCGGTAGAGGCAGAGCAGCAACAGCACAAGTGCGATGCCGGCTGCAAGCCCGAGGGCCGCCACCCTGTGCCAGTGAGGGGAGGGGAGGGGAGGAGAGAGAAGGCGGTGAGGGAGGGTACGAGGGGTCCAGACCTACTTCCACCTCAGCTGCACCCCGTCACCACTCACTTGTACAATGTGACATCGCCAGGCACCTGCGCCCCACCCGGCCCCGCGGTCTCCCAGAGCCCAGGGGGTGCACGAGGGGACCAGGAACTGCGGCCGTCCTGTGGGTGCCGGCCCTCCAGAGCCTCCCTAGGGTTCAGGCGCAACGTCACGGGGATGACGGGCAGCAGGCTGATGTACCTGTGGGGCGCACAGACTTACACCTCATGGCCCAGCTGGGCACCCCGCCCCCCAGGTCCCAGCACCCCTGTCTCTGCCTTGGCATAACGGGACAGGGAGGGCTGGAGGAACCATGGGCTCCCTGGCCCTCTAGCCTCATGCACAACTGCATTCCATGCTTCTCCACTTGTGGGGAGAGGGATACCCCATGGGAGCTGACAGGTGGAAGTCCTGCAGCCCTCACCTCTTAGCCAGCGTGACATTGTAGTAACTGAAGAGCGTGGGCCAGTGGCGGAAGGACAGCTCCCGCCAGAGCTCCTCATCCTCAGGCCCCCAGGTCACCTCTGGCACGGGGGCGTCCTGGACACTTTCTGCCGGGCCCACAGGCTCAGGCTGCTCCCTGGGCCGCGTGCGGTTCTCGGCAAGCCGCGGAGCATCCGGAGGAAAGATGGAGAAGGCGGGGTCCGGGTGGCTGGCAGGCAGCACGCTGCTGGGCACAGGCATGGAGGCCAGGGGGCCCTCGCCCAGCGGGCTCTGCTCTGTCACCTGGGCAGCCAGGTAGGTGCGCAGCCCTGCTGGGTCTGTGTACACCAGGATGCCGATCCAGACAACAGTGCCTGCCTGCAGGTGGGGTGCTCTGTCAGGCCTGGGGGAGCAGTATGCCTCCCGACGGCCACTGGAGGGCTGGGTCCCCTTCCCAGAGCGGCTCACCCTGGGTTGGGTACTGTCCTCCTCATCCCTACCTTCCCAGAGGTGCTGCAGAAGTGCAACATTCTCAAGTCAGCCAGTCTGACCTGTGCCAGAGGCCCCCCCAAGGGCCTCAGCCTCACCCCTTCCTGGCTCCCTGCAGCCAGTGTGGCACAGCTGGTTCACTCTGTGGTGGCCAGTGGCCTGCAGCCCAGGGTCTCCGTCCTGGCCGCCTGTCCTGAGCCCCTCTCTTCAGAACACACCGGGATCAAGGCAGGGAGGACACGACAAGCACGCCTGCAGCAGGTACCAGGGAGCCGCAACCCAAGAGTGCAGGGGGGGCAGGTACCATGATGAGGCGCTGGGCCAGGCGGGTGCGAGCCAGGAAGTAGACAACACGCAGCCGCTTGGGGAGCCGCAGGTTTCGGAAGGAGGACGGCTGCAGCGTGATGGTGTGAGGCATGGACGGCCGCGCAGCCAGCTGCCTCTCGTAGCGCGCTGGCCGCCCCACAGGCTTGATGGGGGGCAGGCAGGCCTCGGCAGGCAGCCGCTTGTTCAGGTCGGCTAGCTGTTGAAGTGCAGGAGCAGGCCTCAGTCTGCGTCCCTTGGCCACAGTTTGGGAGCACAGCAGGACACAGCTGGACACTACTCCTACCTCCATGCGGCGAATGTCAATAGACAGGACGGTGGTGAAGAACAGCATCTGGAGGAAGAAGTCAGACACCAGGCCCACGACTGCAAAGAGACAGAACTCCTGAAACAGAGCACATGCGGGGTGCCGTGAGCGCAGGCCAAGGCCAGGTCACCGCAGAGCAGAGGGAGCCCCCCTTGGCCACTGAGTGCTCTCGCAGCCACCAGAGGGCAGCACAAGCCCCTCACACGGCCGCTGGTGCCCTGGCAGGCAGGAGCCCTAAACCAACCCAGAGGCCCCCACACTGCAGGCCTGTCTGGGTGACACTGCCTGGCCGGGCCCACACTGGATCAGCGAAGAGAGACAGCAGGAGGGATGGAGTCCGTGCTCAGCTGGAACAGGGCGACTCATCCCTGGGCAGCGCTGCACATTCCACCCAGCCCATTGGAGACCCCGCACATGGCGGGCACAGCAGCTCTGACGTCTCTCCCAGGGCCGCATCCCCAGCACCTCTGCCCAGAACACACAGGCAGCAGGCTGTGGCCTCACCTGGATGGCAGGCACGAGGGTGAAGTAGCCAATGAGGATGATGCCCAGCTCGGTGGCCATGTTCTTCATGATGGACCAGCTCTCGCTGCTCAGGCCTGTAGGGTGGCCACAGCAAGGCCTCAGGGATGGCCATGCTACCCAGCTCCACAACCTGGCCTCTGCGCAGGTGGAGGGAGAGGCAGGGCACCGAGCCAGCCACTGTGCGGGCAGCACATGCCTGCCTGCTGCCAGCCCCAGCCAGCCTGGCCCCCAGGCCTCACTGTAGTGACAGGCTGCGCGCTCCAGGCAGGCTGGGACTTTTACCTCATGGCTTCTGTGCCCACACTGCACAGGGCCAGGCCACCAAAGGACAGAGTGACAGGATGAAGGGGCAGCCTCAGCCATTCCTCACCAGCAAGGCCCTGGCCATCTCACGCACCCCAGTGCCTGCTGCCCACTGGGAGGCAGGAAGAGGAAGCCTAGCCATGGTCTCGACAGCAGGTCACCCCAAATATGAGTTCCTGACTGAGCTGGCACAGAGCACAGCCAGGCGGCCACGGGTCTCAAGGCCATGGTAACAAGAGGCAGGGCCTGGGGGCACAGCAACAAGAAGACCAGCGCCACCACACACCCCAGCTACCTTGGGCGATCCGCAGCTTCACCTCCAGGTCCACCGGGGTTGACACCACTGACTTGGTGAGCACAAGCACGTTCTCAAAGCCAATCACCACCACGAGGTATGGGAAGATCTCACTGGGGACAGGGAGGGTGAGGGTAGTGCTTGGCCTTTCAAGCACGCACTGGGGGGCAGGCCTCGCCCCCAGCTCATGGGGAGGCTTCATCAGCATGCTGCTGGGCTTCCAGGGGGGCTAAGAGCCTCCCTGTGAGGCCAGCACCCAGCCCTGACCCCCCATGCAGGTGAGGCACTGGGCAGCTACCTACTCTCCTGGCCCTTGCACACCAGACTCCGCCGCTGCCTGCCAGACTGCACGCACATCTAACTCCAGGCCACAGCACGCAGAGGGTGTGAGGCCAGCCTAGAGGTCCAAGGCTTTGCTGGGCAGCTGCTGGGAGGACAGCAACTGCTGCCTCAGGGATAGGGGCTGGGGCGTGAGCCCAAGGGCCAGCAGGCAGCAAGACAGTGCTCCTCTGCTGAGCTGCACGCTGCTCCCACCTATCTGTTCTGGTATTTTTAGAGGGAGCTTACTATGTTACCCAGATTAAAGCTACGTGGCCCAGGCTGGCCTGGAACTGCCCATCTTCCTGCCTCAGCCTCCTGAGTAGCTGCCACTGCCAGCAACCATCACGGTTCTTAGCGGAGCAACTGCTCCTAAAGGACTCTCCTGACAGTCTTAGGAAGGCATGGAAGCCCTGGGAGTGAAGACTGAGAGGGGGCTGCAGTGGGAAGCCGTGTTTCCCAATGAGGAAAGCAACAGCAGCCACAGGCACCCTGTGCAGGCATGTGTCCAACAGGGAAGGCCTGGCTACAGCCTTGGCACCATATAAAAAGGGGCTTTCTTTCTTCATGAACTGCCTGACCACCCCAGGCTGGAGACAGCAGACCCGGGGGTGGGCAGGCAGGCCTGACCACAGCCAGGAGCCAGCTGAGAGGGCTTCCACACGCAGAGGCGGAGAACTGCAAGGAAAGAGCCAAGCAGCAGTGCGCCTGGACCTCACACAGGGCTTATGCTAAAACACGGGGAGAATTAAGCTGCATTATTCATGTGTGCCAAGTCCCCTAGTGAGAATATATACTCATATACACACATGCGACACATACCCACATAAATGCTCTCTGTACACAACATATAACCACACCTTATACACACATCTGTATACGCATACATGCAGATATACTGCACATACTCACACATACCAACACAGGCCAGGTGCTTAAAGGGGAAGAAATGCACCTCCTGAATGCCAGAAAAAGCAAGGTGAAGACGGGGGTCCAGGAAAGGCTGGGTGCCCAGGTGTGCGCGGCCCAGGCCCAGTCTGCTGGAGACCTACCCGCCATTGAGTGTGGGCGTCAGGCCGAAAAGCGTGCAGAGCCCCACGGACATGAGCAGCGAGCTGAGCACTGTGACCACGGCAGCCAGGGCCAGCCCCCACTTGGACTTGACCATGTCGATCTTGCCTGGAGCGGGGAGGGCGGAGATGGCACTTTAGGGCAGCCCACAGGCGCAGTGCCCCAGCGGCCAGGATGGGTGGCACCCAGGCTCCTCAGGGGAAAGCGTGCCCTGGACACCTGCTGTGTCATGACAGCCCTGAGACCCTAAACCTGGCAGGCCCTCTCCTGAGACCTACAAGAGCCCCAGAGCTCTGAGCCCGTGTGACGCTCTCTGTTGGGGAGGAAGCCCCAGCTCGGGGCTGCCTCTGCCAGCCACCTTCAGAGATGAAGAGGCAGGGGGTGGGGAAGGGCCCCTCAGCAGGACCTACGCGTCGAGAAGTAGATGTAGGCGAACAGGATGATGTAGGTGGTGACCAGGGGGATGAGCTCAGCGATGCCAATCTCTTCCTTGAAGTGCACGTGGACCAGGCTCTCTGCCCGAAGGCTGCAGTTGGGGCTGGGGTGTAGGAGCATGAGGCGGGCACGCAGGCTGCCCAGGAACCTGGGGAAAAAGCAGATCCCTAGAGGGCCCGCCAGGCCTCCCCCCATCGTGTCAGGAGGAGCTCCTCCAAGGCAACTGAGCATCTCAGTGGTTTCCAGGGTACCAAAGAACCGCCAAACTCATGCCTTTCCTGACCCACCGCACCACTCTGCCCAAGGCCTAGGTGCCTCTGGTGCCCTGCCACAGCGGGCGGCCACCAAAACCACCAGCCTAGCCTTTGTCCTCACGCTCAGGCAGCCGTCAGCCCTCCCCACTCAAATGCAACAGACAGTGCCTTCCAGGCTAACGGAGAGAAACATTTCTGCACAGGCCTGAACACCATCTGAACCTCAACCCGAGGCCTCAGGTCACCCACCAAGCGGCTAGGAAGCCAGAGCCCGACCCCTTACTTGGCATGGTAGTGCTGGAAGACCAGGGTGATCGTGTAGGACACCGTCCTCCTCTTCTTGTAGAGGCTCACCCCACTGTACTTCCCAGGAACACCGAACAGCAAGTCTGCGGGGAGCGGCACCGGTGGTGGGACCACAGCCACGGCAGGGCTACGAAGACTCCCTCCCCAAGGACGGGGGAGACCTGGGCTGCCAGAGAATACAACCAGGGAGCAGTGGTGGCCACAGGAGCCCTGTGCCCAGCTTACCCTTGAGCGTGGCGGAAGTCTGCAGCGTCTTGGGCTCATGCTGGTGGATGGTCCCGATGATGTCAGGGTCGGCATGGAAGCGTTCCCGGTCATTCTGCCAGAAGTTTCCCGGCGACAGCAGCAGGCAGCCATGCTCAGGGAGCAGGTTCCGGAGTTTCCGAAGGCCCGGCAGCAGGTCGGTCACCTGCAGACACACCTCCTCCAGGCTCCTGGTCCCAGAGCTGTGCAAAGAGGACATGACACCAACTGTGCCAGCCAGCAGGGGGTAGGCCCACCATGGGGGCACTAGCTGTCCCTGGCTTCCATGTGGCCTGTGTCTGAGCCTGGTATTCTGATATTTCCGGAGAGTCTCATGGTGCGGGAAGGTATTTCAGGGTGGTCAACATCCAAACCAGTGACCACCCCTCCTCCCAAGGGTATGTGTAGTATGGCACCCGTCACCCAGAGGGGACACAGACTGAAACACTGCGGCCTATTTCTTGGCAAGGGGTCATAGGAAGAGGGATCAGGAGTCTGCTTAGAGTACCGAAGTCCCCATCTCTACCATAAGCTAACTACGACCTGTAGGGGACACAGCCTGTGACACTAGCTTGCTCTGATACCCACTGATTGCTGGGGATCAGGGCCCAGGCTGGCACTACAGAAGTGTCCCCAGGTAGAGCTACCACCACCTCATAGCTCTCGACACCGAGGCCAGAGCCACGTGCATGATGTGCTGGCCAGTCTTCAGCCTGCTTCACACAGCCCTGAGCCCAGGTGCTCACAGAACTGTCTGCACAGGAAGGGGACTCCGCACAGCATATTTGCAGAATGCAGGACCAGGAGGCTGGCTCCCCTCTACCCTTCTTGCTTAACTGCTGCAGAGCTGACTACACCCTGGGGTGCACCACAGCCCTAGCTCTCCTTGGGGAGGGACCAGTGGCCCCTGGGATACCTGTCTCGCAGCACATGGTTCCGGATCTCCTCCACCAGCTGGAATGCCCGGGACAGAGGGGAGCGAAACACATCTACTGCCAGGAGGTTCTTGTGCCAGGGTGATACCGAAGTCTTCACGAAAATCTGCTGGATGTAAGCCACTGGAGCACCCACGTACTGCAGGGGAAATGGTGGTGAGCAGAGGGGTCAGCTCTGCACAGCAGGCAGAAGCACAGTTCCACACTCCATGAGGGCCAAGCCTCTATTCTGCAGTGCGCACTGCGGCCCAGGCGCACTTCTCTGGTTTCCTGGTGCAAGGCCCCTCTCATGGCTTCACTAGCTGCTCTCAGGCTGCAAAGGCAGAGGTGGGGTCTATGATGGAGGCTTGGGGTAAGACAGTGGGTTCCTGAGGCCATCAACCCCAGCTTTAAATCCCAGCTCTGTAGTGCTCCCTGGTCCCTGTCTGCATCTGCCTTACCCACTGGACACTGGAGCGCAGTGACGAGGAGCAGGAAAACCCAGGCCACATGCAGGGACCCCTCATACTGTACCCACACAGCCTCCTCCTGCACCTGAGGCACGGGACACTTATGTGTAGATTCCCACCCCCAAGATGCAAGCAGCTGAATGGCTGTGAGCACAGGGAGGTGAAACAGCACAGATGGCAGATGGGTGGGCAGGTGATGAGAGAACCAGGGAAAATGAGAGGTGGGGCAGGGTGACACAGGCTGAGCTACCTGCCCTTTGGCAGAAAAGCTGAGTGTTTCTGAGGTGGAGGCAGAGAGAAAGACATGGCTGCCCGTTATCCCCATGCCTGCTGTCCCCCATGGCTTGGGGGCAGCAACTCACCAGGGATCACTGTGAGGCCAGGCCAAGGGGCTGACTCAGGCTGCAAGTCAGTGCCTCAGGGGCCCATAGCAACCTGGAGCCCTGGAGTCTTGGGGCAGCTGGGGAACAGAAACCTCCTCCACCCCACACGGCTGGGCTCTGGGTTCAGCAGTGCTCAGTGACAGGTGGTTCACTCCACCTCACCTGACTCCCAGGCGAGCACAGCTTTGGGCCTCCAGTCAGGCTTCCACACAGGACCGATAGCCACACTTCAGAGCTAGTTCCCCAAAGGGCTCGGGCTGCTCTGCTTCCTACTGGCAGGGTGCACACTGCCAACCCCTGGGGTTGAGCACAGGGCGCCCCTCTGCACAGGCCTTACTCTGTCCTCAGAGCCCCCAGCAGCCTGCACTTTGAGGCTGGCCTCAGTCACCCTTGCTGGCCAGGTGGCTCTCATCCATCTCCGGGCCTCCACTGCTCCTTCATGGCTGCTGACTGTGCCAGGCCCCAACTTGTCTGTATCCTCCAGGCCCCTCTTCGGGCCCCAGAACTCTCCAGGCACTGAGCAGCCCTGTCCTGTCGTTCCCAGCCTTGCCTGGGTGCCCCCTGAAGCAGTCCCTCACAAACTGTTTATCAGGAGGTGCAGAAAGCAGGGACATGGCAGCCACCACAAGATGTGCTGAGCGAGTGGCCTATGGGGACACACCCCGGCTCCTGCAGTGCACCTGAGGGCTGCCTCCAGGGAATCTTATCGGTGAGAGGTGGTGCCCCACGCGGCTCCTCTGCCCACCCCACATGAGGTGTGCTTGAGAAGCTGGCAGAGCAGTGCCACGTGGTGTTCACAGTGAGGGGACCAGATATCCTGGGTGAAGAGCTCCTGGGTGGTGGGGCTGTGACGGGCAGCCTCCAACACAGCCCAGCACACAGGACAGGCTGCTTGGGGCAGTGCCCCATGTTACCGCATCCCCTTAAAAGCAGGACCTCCTGATCTGATTCAAACAAGCAGGATCCAGCAGAGACCTACCTCCCTTTGGTGATGAAGTCACATGACACCACAGCCACACCTCCCTTTCAGAGCTCCTGATCTGATGAAACTCCACAGCACACTGCTTGGGAAGGGCAGTGCAGCATGGAACTGAGGGGTGGGGATGCCAGGCCCAAGGCCCAGCAGCGTGCCAGGGCCCCACTGATGGGAACACGCTGACAAGGGAAGCAGACTATTCCCCAGCTGGACTTGGAGGGACTGGCTTTGGGAAAGATCCTGAGCTAAAGAGCCCAGACAAGCAAACCAGGATTCTGGACAACAGAAGACATGTCTGAGGCCACACAGCCTCAGACAGGGCTGATGGACTCCCAAGCCTGGATTCTCCCTGCCAGGATATCAAAGGCCTGTCCACCCCCAGGCTCTAGTGGTGCCTTGGGCCGCCACTGTGTATAGCATGAATTGCTGTCTGGGGCTTCCTGGAAAACATGTCCAGGCCCAAGCAGCTACCACCGACACTGCAGCGCCAGCCTCACGAGACGAGCAGTGAACAAGCCTGGCCGCTGGCAGACCTGCCACAGGAGGCCTGGTGTAAGATTGCAGTTCCATGTCAAGCAAACCAAAATGCTGGAGACTTTGCCTGCTGCTCTTAACACACTGCTATCACCTTTAATTTTTATTATTATTTTGTTCTTTTTGTGATGGTTTCATTATGCAGTACAGGTTAGCCTTCACTCATTTTGTAGCCAAGGCTGGCGTTGGACTTGCGGCAATCCTCCTGCCTCAGTAACCCAAGTGCTGGAATCACTGGCCATTATAGGCCTGTGCCCAGGGTAGGGCCAGCATGGCATGCAGTACCAGGGATCAAACCTGGGTCCTTGTCCTTAACAGACAGGTGCTTAGACTGCTGAGCTATTCTTTGGCCCTCTGCTGTCATCTTTAAACATAAGCCTTCCTTCACCTATAGAGAGCTCTGCCTCAAACTGCTGACATCTTCCCTTTATCCAACATACACCCAAGAGAGCAGCCCCTGCTGCTTGGTTCTTCCAGGAAAGGGGGTTGGCAGATGGAGGGCACAGCAGGCTCAGGCGGCTATTGAGGTTCAGGTGGCAGCCCTGTCACTCCTGGGCTGTGTGCCCAGGGAAAGGGTCTCGGGCTCTCCAGCCTCGTCTGTCACTTACTATGGAAAATGGGAATCACGCTTTAGATGTCACCAGATCTCAAGAAGCCCAATCAAAGTAACATGTGTGACCCACCTGACCAAGTGTCTGGCTGCAACAGCACCACGTCACACTACACAGCTGGGCCCTGGCACCCACAGTCATCTCACCTCCAAGCTCACAGGCTCAGCAGACAGATTCTTTTTTTTTTTTTTTTGGAACCGGAGAATGAACTCAGACCCTTGCAATTGCCACGGAAGTGCTTATTCTACCGAGCCATCTCCCCGGCCCAGCAGACAGAGTCTTACAGCTCCCACAGGCACAAACACCTTTGCCTACAAAGCTCCAGCTTCAGCTACACAGCCAGGACTCAAAAACTGCATGTACACTAGTGGGCCTAAGTCAGCCCACTGGGTTCCAGGAAGTCTTTCCCAGGCCTTACCCTGGTGCCCAGGGTCTGAACAGGCAGAATCCGACGACAACAGGGTGGCCATACAGAGCAGGGAAGAGGGCTGGGACGCTCCTGGGAGAAAGTGCCACCTTGCGCAAAGGGAAAGCCTAAGGCAGTGGTGGTGAACCTACGGCATGCGTGCCATTTGCTTTTATGACAAAAGATGTTAATATGAGTTGTTTTTCCTAAACAAAACCCTCAGTATTCAGGTTCAATTGTAGTGCTGGCCTTTGCAATAAACAAGTGGGTTCTGGGTTGCAGCTGGAGCTCCTGTCTCTAGAAGGTTCACCATGACTAGCCTGAGGCACGTGCAGGGTGCACCTCACAGTGTCCAGGCCCAGAAGTCCTCCTCCTGCTCTGTTCTGGCCAGCTGGACTGACCAGTGATCACTACAATGATGGTGACAGCCATGTACACCTGCCAAATCAAACAACAGACCAGGCACTATGCTAATTAAATCTTTACATTGCTCCATTTAATCCTTGTGCGTTTATTTGCAGAGAACACTGGGGACAGAGCCCAGTGTGGCATTGAGTTACACTCCCAGCGCTTTTTAGTTTTTCAAAACAGGTCTCCCTAACTTGTCTAGGCTGGCCTCAAACATGTGAGCCTCTTGCCTCAATCTCCCAAGTGGCTGGGATTGTGCCCAGCATAATGTAGTTGTAATTCTTACCCCATCTCATGAATGAGGCAACTTCTGAAGACAAGTGTTAGGTGGTTTTCCCAAAGTCACACAGCTGGGAGACACAAAGTCTTCATTCTGGGCGTCTGAGCCAGGGAGCAGTCCTTTCAGATCCCCCAAGGCCACTGGTCAAGTGACTTCAACACAGTGAGCCACACTCAGCCCAAGGACCTGGCAGGGCCAGTGAGAATTCTAAGGACACACAAGGAGCAGCTGCAGGGCCCAGCCTCCCCTGCTGTGGGCAACTGAGAGACTAGGACAGACAGACACATGGACACAGACATGGGGACACACACACACAGAGCCACACTGCATAAGGGGAAATCAGTCCAATACAAAATGGGCGAAATACTTCAACACACGTCATAGTCAGACAGGCAAACACAGCATCCACTTGAAAAACACTGTCCGGGAAATGCAAGTTGAGGCAGAATGAGTGCTGTTATGCATCTATCGGAACGGCTGAAACCACCTACCCAACTGACAGACGGCGTCGGGAACTGTACAGCACTGAGCTGCACCACAATTTGTGAAAATCTGGAAATAATTGAAGAGCTCAAAGGATGTGCCATGGGGCCAGGGAGATGGCTCAGTAAAATAAGCACTTGCCTGGAAGGGCCTGAGTTCAATCCCCAGTTTCGCCAAAAAAAAAAAAAAAAAAAAAAAAAAAAGAAAAGAAAAGAAAAAAAGGATGTGCCACGAATGACACTTCAAATGTCCAGGACCCAGGCTCCTGCTCTCCGACCAGAACCATCCCTTCATTCTCGGCCAAGTGACAGGTTCCAAAGCCAGTGTGTACTCCAATCTCCTCAGTCTTGGTGCCACCCCAATGCATCGCATTTAGCTGTTGCGTCTCCCTAGGCACTGCTTAGCTCGTGACAGTTTCTCAGACCTCTTGGGTTTGGGGGTGAACGTGGCGTTCCATGGGGTGATTTTTCAATTGTCAGGCCAAGCTTCTGGCTTTCTGGGAGGCAGACACAGAGGTCTAGAGCACCTGCTGTTTCACTGTCACCTACCTGAGGGGTGCCCATCAGGTCTCCCCATGCCATGCTATCCTCTTTAGAAGGAAGTCTCTAGCACACTCTTTTTTTGTTTTTTTGTTCCCCATGCCTTCAGGGCAGGTTTGGCTGGCTTGAGTTTTTTTTGGGGGGGATCGAACCACAACAACCTGAGCCCCTCTGCTTTGTTGAAGCAGCCACTTAAAGAACTGAGCTAAGGGGCAGTAGGCCCCCTCTAGCACACTCTTAAAGTGAGGAGTTACGTTTTTACCTCAAGGGAGGAGTTTCTATGTAATGACGATTTTTTTTTTCTTTTGCCCAAGGATTTGTCTAGTGTCCCCTGTTTACTTAATTAAATAGATCAGGATGTTTATTTTGTACTTGGGTATGCAAATATGTGTATGTGTAGAATACATATATAAATATGTGCTGCTACATATATACATAGAAGTCAAACTACCTTGTTTTTTGGCAAAAACTGTTTTAACACTGACCATTGGGAATTCTTCTGATGGTCCCTTCTCTGACCTGTATTTCAAACTTCAAAGGCCTTTGCAGTCTCCTCCCAAACACAATGAGCACCCCTCAAGGGCCATGAGCCTCTAGCCATCCTCACATCCCCCCAGGAGTCACCAGATTAAGCTGGAGCAGAGCTGAGGACAGGAACCAAGGGAGCGGAGGAAGCCTTGCTTCTTGGCGTGGATAGCAGGTGCTTGCCATGTGCTGGAACTATCCCTTCATTCTCAGCAAAGTAAGGAAGCACACAACCAAGCACCCACCCTGGGCAACAGGGCAACAGAGACAGGCAGGGAACCCCCGGGAGCAACGGTCTCCCTCTCGCCCTCCACCATGCCCCTGCTGGAAAGGCCAAGCATAAAGCAACTGTTGGGAGGATAGTGCTCACACTGCCTCATGTCGCAGGCGCACCATGCAGTGCTGGAGGCAGCCCTGCCCTGGTAAAGAGAGTCGTGAGCCACAATATTTCCTTTTCATGTACTCTGGTCTGCACTGAGTTTTCTGTTTCCTTCCTGTATTACTTTTATCACAGACAGGAAATAAAGTCGGAAACACAATATCAGGTGACTGCACTGAGGTTTGCTTGGGTCTCTTCCATCCTGCAGGGGACAGTGCTTCGTCACAGAGAGCAAATGGACAAGCCCAACTCTGCACACCACACACTGTCAACACCCCAGGAAGACAGTGAAGGAATCTGGATGGAAGCCAGATGTTATCACTAACATCCTCTCCATGCCGCAGGCTAAAAGAATCCCAAACACAGGACGACCTGGGTGGGCCCTGGAACCATCCGCCCATTACATGGTGATCCTAAGAGGCAATGAAGGTGAATGGTGTGAAGCGTGAGCCGAGAAAGGCCCACTGAAGCAAGGGCTGTGAGGCATGATGGGATCACCCTGCTGGCGCTAGTGGGGAGCAGCAGGGTCAGGCCCGAAGTCCCTGCCCCACAAGGGCACAGACCGAACGGCCTTCTGTGAGTGCTCATGCAGACACCGCAGGAACAGTAGTCAGAGAAAGGCACGGGCCTACGTCTGGAGGCCCAGGACCAACCCAGTGTTGCCCCAAGGAAACTGAAAAACCGAGGCGCTTGACAGGGCCAGGCCCAGCTTCCTTACCTTTACTAAAGGACAAAGCCTGCATCTTTTCCTCCCGAGTAGATCTTAGGAATAAAATAGGACCTGAGAGAGCTGAAAAACATCTGGCGCACAACGCAAATGGAAGCCATGCTAGGACTCTGTGGTGAACATTTGGGGAGGCCCAGCTACTCTTGGATGAGAACATCCACGGATGAGGAGGAGAAACCCTGTGCCCTGGCATGTGCAGGACTGTGGGACAAGCCCAGGTGTGAACCCAGAGCCAGCCGGGTACTGCTAGGATGAGGTTTTTCTGGGCCAGTCACACTTTGGTGTCATCTGGTCTTTTCCCTCAGTAAAGGTTATTCATTAAACATTTAGCAAGGCATCTCTGGAGCCTCCACAGGCCATGCAGGACACATGCCTGAGGCTAGCCACTCACAGTCTGGCTGGCCAGTGTGCCCACCAATCAGTGCCCTGCTGGCTGTCTCCTCAGCACCTACCCACTCAGGCCGCTCGCTGGGCTCCCCTGGCTGGTGGTCAGGGTCGGCGGGGGGCGGGGCGTAGTCCTTCACAGGGGTAGCAAACTCCACAGGGCCCGTGCCCGGCAGGGGCAGCTTCAGCAAGGGGTAGCTGCGGGAGGAAAGGCAAGAGGTGAGGTTGATCCCCTGGAGGGAGGGTCCACAGGGGCATGGAGCCCCTGCAGCTGCAGGAAAACATTCTGCCTTAGGTCACGACTGTCTGACAGGTTAGAATCACCAAGTATTAGAACTGGGACTTGGACATCACCTATATCCCAACTGTTAAAATTTATTTTAGTGACAAAGTGTACAATAAAGCCCAACAGACTTCATAAATGCAAAATGCTGAGAACAAAATTAAAAACCTTCCTGTCGAGTTAGACATAAGATAACGATTTTTTTTTTAAAAAATCCAGAGGGTCTAGGATTCAGATGTCTGGGCAACTGTTCCATCTAAAGGACAGTCAGATGTGGTAGTACATGCCTATAATCCCAGAACTCAGGAGGTTGACGCAGGAGGATTGTCACTAGTTCAAGGCTATCCTGGGCTACCTAGTGAGTTCATGGCCAGCCTGAGCTGCACAGTGAGACCCTTTCTCAAAAAAACGAAATGAAAAATCTTTGGCTTCACATTGACAAGTTGGTAGAGATGTGCGTTAGTTTCAGGTCTTACTTTTTTTTTTTTTTTAATTTATTTGTGTGTGTGTGTGTGTGTATGTGTGTGTGGCCAGCTCAGCCCACCAGGGGGCGGGCCTGGCTGGCATGTGGTGCTGGGGGATTGAACCGCGGCCCCTGTGCTTTGCCAAGCTTGTTGTAAGTAGGTGCTTTAGACCACTGAGCCATCTCACCAGCCCCAGGTCTTATTTTTAAAAAAAATTTTTTTTACAAAATTTAGCAATAATTTTGTAACTTACAGTACAGCATACAGACCTCAAGCACATGGTGCAAGAGCTGCCACACACACCCGTGCAACCACCACCTGGAGCACCCAGCAGAACCGTTCCAGACCCCTGAAGGCGGGCCTGCGCCTCCGGTCGGGGTTGGCGCTGCTAGTGTTTCTACCGCACCAGTCTATTTTGTCTTTTTGATCTTTTGGTGCCAGAGGCTGAAGCCGGGTTCTGTGCTCACTAAGCATGCACTCTCCTCCAAGCTACACAGCTGGCCCGTTTTCCCCCTTCTTGAGCCCTATAAATGAGTCTTTATCCACTGACTCCACTCTTCCAGGGCTGCCTTTCACACATCCTCACTTGCCAGATGCCTCCGTGCTGGTGGGTGCGACCATTTTCACAGCTCTGCGCTGCGCGGTGGAATCAGGGCTACAGCCGTAATAAAGCACCTGGGACCGGGGAAATGGCTCAGTGGAATAAATGTTTGCCTGGTAAGCACAAGGGCCTGAGTTCAACCCCTGGTTACAAAAAAAAAAAAGAATAAAGAATAAAGCACCTCTGATCATTTCCACACGTGGCCCCTGGTAGCCGCCTGCATGTTCTGCTGGGTGTATTCCAAGGATGATTTCTGAGTTACGCAGCACATACGTTTAGCATAACAGACATCATCAAAGTTTTCCAAGAGGTTGTACAAGTTTATGGCCTCACCATCACCAGTGTGATAAAGGCTCCAGTTGCCTTGAAGAACTGTCACCTCTTATTATGGCCACACTCCTTCAAGGCAACCTCCTCTGGAGGTAGCAGCATCTCTTTGTGGGGTTTTGTTTCTGTGATTAATTTATTTGGTACAGAGTCTTACTATGCAGCTTGGACGTAGTGATCCTCCCATCTCAGCTTCTCCAGCGCTGGGATCACAGGCATGTGCCACCACACCCAGTTTCTGTAGTTGGTACAGGGTCCCAAGATTCCAGGGCTGCAGGGCATGCAATACTGGGGATCAAACCCAGGTCCTTGTGCTTGCCAGTTAGGCACCTAGACCGCTAAGCTATCTTACCTCCCCAGCCTGTTTTCATTTTCTCAGTGCTGCAGACTGAACCCAGGTCTTTTGCAGCATGTACGCTATTCCCTAAGCTTCATCCCCAGCAAAGATACGGTTTTAGCTTACATTTCTCTAAAAAGGGAAAATACTGAAAATTCTTTATATGCTTTTTTATTGGCCAACTGAATAGAGCCTCTCTTATAAAATACCTCTTTAAGCCAGGGATATGGCTCAGCAGCACAAGCACCTGCCTGGCAAGCACAAGGTCCTGATTTCGAGTCCAGATATCAAAAAAGAAAAAGAAAAAATTAATAAAATACCAGAAGTCTGTTGCTGAAGTTTTATATATTTGGTACAGGGTCTCACTACACAGATCGGACTGAGTGATCTTCCTGTTTTCAGCCTCCCCTGAGGTAGGATTACAGGCACCAGCCACCACACCAACTTGGTCAGCAGCTCAGCACACCCAAGGGCAGGACCAGCACAGCATGCGGTATAGGGAATTAAACCCTGGTCCCTGCGCTTACTTAAGCAGGCACTTAGTCCACTGAGCTATCTCACTGGCCCTACTGCTTAAGTTTTAATCTGAAATAGTTATTAGAACAGAATACAATTACACTATCCCATTGCCCTCATTAAAAGTTCACTTTTCTCTGGTTTCTCTCCATTTTCACCCACCTACACTCATAAACACTGTTTACTGAGTATGTATTATGTGCTGAGCACTAGGAATACAACACATACCCTAGGAACGCCATGGTCTGAGTAGGGAGCTCCCCTTGAACAACAGATAAGCAATGAGGCTCACTCCAGGGTTTGCATGGTACTCAGAGGACATAGTGCCCTGTTTCTGTTCTAGAATCTGCTCATGCTTTTATCTGACTTCTTTTGGGGGCAGGGTCTTGCTATCCAGTTCAGGTTGGCCTGAAACTCATCGTGTTGGCCTGTGCTAGCCTCACTCTTCTGGCAATCCTCCTTCCTCAGCCTCCTGAGTGTGGTCATGCTTTTAGGCTACGGATGTAGAAACTTTAAGAGTAGTGTAACAGAAAACCCTTACATGATGTTTAACATGTGCCCGGAGCTATTTAAGCATTTTATGTCACTGGCTATGTAAATACTCCCTAAGAACTAAGTGCTGTTAAGTATCCGTGTCATAGGTGAGGCACAGAATCATTAAGTTGCTGGCCAAAGGTCACTGAACCAGGTCTCCAACTCCAGCAGTCAGCTCTGCACTGTGTCCCTTGCAAACTGAACTGCAGGTTGACACAGTATGAAGGCATCCTTGGTCGCCAAAGGCACCAGACCTTGACATGTCTCCACAGCTCTAACCTGAATTGAGGATGTGGTCATTTGGCAGGATGAAAATGGCCAAGCTGAAGATGTGTGGCCTGGCCTCCTCCTGTGGGGTCTGTACCCATCTGCTCTGGGCTGGAGCTGTACACCAGCAACCCAGGGATTCTCTTCACAGCCACATTCTGCAAATATTTGAGCATCGACTCCGGGCCAGTCACTGTGCAAGGTCCAGGATGAATGAGACAGATCTCTGCTTAGGATATACGCAAGGCAGGCACCCAGGAGAGGGGAGCAAGGGGTAGGGAGGAGGAAGACAGAATCCAAGGGGGCGGCCTTCGGGCAATGCCTGGCAAGCCGGAGTCCGGCTGTCTGCCCACAGCACTCCAGGCTGTGCATTTCCCTAACAACTTCCACTCAGTCCAGCTCTGCTGTCCCCAACTTGTGCCTGTCTGGTCATCACAGGCCAAGTCTCCTGTCTGGTCACTTTTGCCCAGGGTCAGCCTTTCCTGAGCCTCCAGCACGCATCAGGTAGGGCCTGTCCATCTGGTCTCCCCATGGTCAGCCAGGTTACCTCAGTACCTGAGACTCAGCCTGCACATCTTGGTTTATTCCAGAAACAGGTCTTTCGTTTCCTTGGTTCTAGGGTTGGAACCCCGGGCTGGTACTAAGCCCTAACCCCAGGCCACAGAAACAGGTTTCAGAAACACTACTCCCCCTTAGCTCCATGCTTCCTGTCAGTTGAGGAGACTGGAGCTGGTGCTGCTCCCAGAAAGATGGCAGCAAAAGCTCACTGCTGAGGACTTAAACGGAGTTAACTGACGCTTTATTGAGTTCTCATGGGGACACGCAGTACTGGGAACTGAACACAGGGCCTTTTTCCTTCACAACTTCAGCCTTTCTGCTATTCTGTGAGATATCCGGTGAAGATCTTGCTAGGTTATCAAACTGCCCAGCCTGTACTTGAGCATGTATCCTCCTGCCTCAGCCTCCCAGACTGGTGGGATTTCAGGTTGTATCACTGTCCCCAGCAGACTTCATACTTGACTGCTTCAAAACTTGTCAAATTTGTCAGCCAATGCTCCCCCTTTGCTAGGTAGTTCAGGCTGTCCTCAAACTCAGTGCTCTTCCTGCCAAACGCCAGTATTATAGGTGTGTGCCACCATGCTGAACAGGTTAGTCAATGCATTCTGCAGTGAAATTTTTGTACCTGTACTCATCATGTTTGGTACTCAACACACAAACTAGAACTTGCTGGCACCGACTGCCTTGTGAGCAAAATGACCTGGCACTCATGCTGCCTCCTGGCAGCGATTAATGGCCATGCTAAAGGCACAGCTGAGTTCTACACTTGAGGCTCGAGTCTTCTTCTGTGCGTCCATTTACAGCTGCCTCCCTCCAGTGCTGGCGCTACACGGGGCTTCTGCCCTCACTCCTCTGGCTATTTCCTAATTTCCTCTTGAATTCAGCGACTGTTGATTTCCTTAACACTATGTTGTTTCCATTCCACTGTGACCCTCTGCAGGATTTCACACATATAGTCAGGGAAGGCCTATGTGGCCCCCTCTTCCCTCTTCCCTCTTCCCTCCAGGCTCTGGGTTGGACCAAACCCTGCTGCTGCTGGAGGCTGGTCTGCAGCGTGGCTTCTCCTCTGCTTCCTTCCCACCCTCGCCTGCTTGTAGCAACTTGCACTGGAAGTGGCATACTGGAGCCCCCAACTCTAACTCTACAACTGTCAAGAGCCTGGGAGATAGCTCAGCAGTGTAAGCGTCTGCCTGACAGGTGCAAGGTTCCAATTTTTTTTTTTTTTTTTTTTTTTTTTTTTTGTGGAACCAAGGATTGAACTCAGGTTTTTGCATTTGCCAGGGAAGCGCTTATTCCACTGAGCCATCTCTC